TTACTTTTCTCAGTGGACAAAAATAAAGATGATCACAGAAGATACTCCAACAGTATACAATTATATCTGATGGGTATACATTAAACTTTATTGATAAGAAATAGAGAACACATCTTTTCAAGTTCCAGCAGAACATAAATGAAAGTGGACTACATATTACAGCACAAAAAGCCTCTATAAATTCCTAAAAGTAGAAATGCTATAGACACTATCTTCTAACCTTAATGGAACAAGCTGGATAATTATAAAAAAAATCAGAAAAGATAAATACTTCTCCACATAGAAAGTTAAACTGTCTTTTTCTTGATCAGAGAGAAAAAACCAAAAATTTCTAGAAAAATTATAATTCAAAATCAGATTTCAAAGTTCTGAGATATAGTTAAGGCAGTGCTCAGTGGAGAATTTATGGCCTTAATCAGTTAAGGGAAAGAATGAAACCACATGGCTTAGTGAAAAGAACAACACAATCAGTCACATGAAAGCAGGAGCAGATAATAAACATAAAAGCAGAAATGAAGAGTTAGAAAATGGGAAAACAGAATAAATTCAAAAGCTTAAAATTTTTCAATAAAATAAACCACTGACAAACCTAATCAAGAAAAAAGTAGAGAAAATAAGAAATGACAAGGAAAAAATTAATACATGAACAGGAGAAAAATCATAAGAAATTATTTTGTTCAGTTTTATACAAATAAACTTGAAAACTTAGATTAAATGAATAATTAGTTTGAAAAATATACCCAGACCAATCTCTTTAGAGGTAGAATGCACATATAGAGTAATTTCCAATGAAGAAACAGAAAAAAACTTGTCAAAGAGCTACCCCAAGAAATGCACGAGTTCCAGATATATAGGTCAATGTAATAATATCTTTAAAGAAAAAGAAAAAAAAAAAAGAGAATTCTAATCCTAATTAAATGCTTCAACTGCAGCAAATGTATTCTTTTAGTGAAGTATAGTATCAGCATTAAACTATGACAATGCACCAAAATAAAAACTATAGATGAATTTACTTATTGATGCAAAAATCCTTAGAAATATTTACAATATTCTGTTTACAATAGAATCTAGTGCAAATTGAAAACAAAAACAAAAACAAAAACACATCAAGATAGGAAGCCCAGCCACATTATTGCCTGCAGGCTTGGATTTAAGCCTCTTCCACTCTCTCATGCTTTTGCTGCTTGGGATAATCTCCATGTCAGGTTCTCATTCACTTAGCTTGAAGTTAAAATGTTTTTCTTTACTTCCATATGAGATAAAATACATGGGAAAGATTAAGGTAAGTGTAGGTAGGAAGAAGGGAAGAAGTTAAAACTCAGTGGCTTGAGCTCTTTCTGATTGCCACTTTTTCACTCAGCGCCACACTTGCCCCCCAGGTGGGAGCAATGCAACCATTCACCTCTAGAAGAAGTACCCAATGTCATGGGTCATATGCTCTGTGTATGGAGTCTACCAGTTTTGGGCTGGGCTCAGATTTCCAATTCATGAATATTCGAATCTACCTGAGAGATATGGAGGAGGCAGGTAAACATTCTTGTTCTTGTCCTATATTAGTTAGGTTAAGCTAGGCTAGGCTGTGATAACAACCTTCAGAGCCTTAGTCAAGCAAAAGTTATCTCTTATTCATGTAGCATCTGTTGTGGTTTTGGGTGATTCTCTAAGGGCTTCTGCTCTTCATGACAACTCAGCTAATTAGACTGCTTTTATATTCTGATTCGAGATTCCACCATTTCAGCACAAGGTTGTCCTAGTTGACTTGGTGAGGGAAGAAGAGTCATAAAATGGTAGTTAAATTCTTTGACCAAGAACCTTTTGTTCACTGGCCATTGGCTAGAACTGATCACATAGTCCTGGGAAATCAGGAAGTATAGTTTTCCATGTGCCCAGGAAGTAGAGGATGTCGGTGAACACTAGTGATGTCTTCCACATCTCCCCATCTTTTTATCTGTCATGATCTCCCAGGAGACGGAATTATTATTTTGATTGGTCAGATTCCAGGGCGGGGTATGTTTACTAAGAGTTCCAGGGCCACAGTATTTAAAGTTTACAAAGTTGCATTTCGCCTCTTTTCTGAATGCTATTTCTGCCTTCGGTGAACAGAGTCCCTTTGGGACCCACACTATTACTCATATGCTTGGGAGGTCTTAATCCTTCAGGGTTTACAGCTCGATAGTGGTACAAGTGGTGTATAAGAGGGAACATTAGACCTTGCTTGGGTCTCATGCTTCAGAGACGCTTACCATAAAATCTTCTATTGGGGTATATGAGAGATTTGACCAGCTAATAATAGAGTCAGTCTTTGATTTACAATTTGCTATTACTACTTATGGGTAGAGATTTCCTGAGGGCCTCCCAGCGTACTTGGCAAGGCATAACTCAAGTATTCCTTGGTGTCCTGGTTAACGACCATCATAATCCTACTTTACACACCCATCAGAACATGTGCATTCTCTTAGGGAAGCGAAGAATAAAAAAAAATTGTATTGTATCTTTTCCCACTTAATGAAGTAGTATGCATGTATTTATTTATTGCAGATAATCAGAAATTTTAAATGAATTCCAGAAAAACTTTTTGTTTCACTGTTTGTCTCCATTCTGTTGTCCATTAGTACTGGGTATTTCAAATTCAAAAAAATCTCTGCTCGGTAGGTCTGTTGTATCAAATATTAACTTTATCATGAACTCTTTCTAGATTAAGTTAAAATCTACTCTTTTGCATACCCAAGCATTACCAAATGAATCTCATTCTTCCTGACATTACAGTGGACTGTTTCCTTGTCACTCTGCTTAGGTTATGTATTTCTTGAGAATAAGGAACATGGCTGTGTCATCGCTGAGTGGCCCGTAGTATCAGACATGGATGGCTCTGTGCTAAATAAATTATAATGTACTTACAGACTATTTTGGTTAAAAAGCAGCCTTCTCTCCTTAGCTGTCAAATAGATTTTCTTCCAACTCCTTTTTAGCAGAAGATTTTGCCTTGTCCTAAACTGAGTCCATTGAAGCCATACATCTGGAACTTCCTCGTTCCCCTCTTTATCACTTCTAATCTCCCTGTCTTCATTCCAGTCTCTGAACAAGTATTCCTTTTTATTACGAAGTCTGACAATCTCTTTCTTTGGATTCCATTAAGAATTTGGGGGGTAATTTCTCTTTTCTTCTCTCTCATATACAGATAACTTCCACTTAACTTAGAAACTTGTTAAGGTCTTTTTTTTTTTCCTCTTTCAAGTTAAAAAAAATCTTTTAATGTTTATGTTTTTGAGAGAGAGACAGACAGAGAGAGAGAGAGGGAGAGAGAGGTAGAGAACAAGCAGGGAAGGGGCAGAGAGAGAGGGAGACACAGAATTGGAAGCAGGCTCCCAGCTCTGAGCTCTCAGCACAGAGCCTGACTCGGGGCTCGAACTCGCAGACTGCGAGATCATTACCTGAGCTGCAGTCAGCAGCCCAACCGACTGAGCCATCCAGGTGTCCCAGTTTCAAGTTTTTATTTAAATTCTAGTTAGTTATTATACAGGGTAATATTAGTTTCAGGAGTAGAATTCAGTGGGTCATTACTTACATAGAACACCCAGTGCTTATCACAACAAGTGCCTTCCTTTTTTTAAAAAAAATTTTTAATGCTTATTTATTTTGGAGAGAGAGAGACAGAGCATGAGCAGAAGAGGGGCAGAAAGAGAGGGAGACACAGAATCCAAAGCAGGCTCCAGGCTCTGAACTGTCAGCAGAGAGCCTGATGTGGGGATCGAACTCATGAACTGTGAGATCATGACCTGAGCTGAAGTCAGGTGCTTAACTGACTGAGCCACCCAGACACGCCAATAAGTGCCCTCCTTAACACCCATCACCCATTTAGCTGTTATGGTCTTTCTTGTACATAACTTTCCTGTAGTGTGGCTTTTTGCTCAAGTTTGAGTCCCATCCTTTCCCTTGTTTTCATTTCCAACACTTTTTTTTTTAAGTTTATTTATTTATCTTGAGAGAGAGAGAGAGAGAGAGAGAGAGCGAGCGAGCTGGGGAGGGGAAGAGAGAGTGAGAAGGAGAGAGAGAGAGAGAGAGAAAGAATCCCTACTTGGGATTCTCCCAAGGGGCTGGGATTCTCCTCAGCACCCTCCGCGCTGAGGGTGCGGGACTCGAGCTCACAGTGAGATAATGACCTGAGCCAAAACCAAGTGTCAGACACTTAACCGACTGAGCCGTCCAGGTGTCGCTCACTTCCAACACTCTTGAAGGACTGTTTATATCTGCTGCCTTCATTTCCAATTTGCTCTTTACTCTTTTGAAATATTGCTTCTACCTTTAACACTCTATGTCCCAATGAAGGTTATTGGTGCTCCACTAATTATATAACACAATAATGTTTCTTATATTTTATCTTCTGGAACATTTTTTGCACCTTTTTATTCTTTTAAGAATCCTCTCTTCATTTTACTTTTTGTGGCCCTCTCTTGGTTTATGAGAAATCATACTCTCCAGGTGATTCTCAATCTCTTCTGTTTCTTCTCTGATAATCACTTCATTAACTCCTCTTAGGGCAAATGCTTCAGAATGCTGTCTACTTTCTGCTTTATTTGCACACTCCATTGACAACGTCAACCACACCACAGGAGGAAGAGACTCATTGGTTAGAAGATAGCAGAATGCATAATAAACAATCCGTGTAGTTCTTCTAGGATCACATATTATATACACTATTTAAAAAAGTTTTTTTTTTCACAGCCCATTTTCCACACACCTTAAACTACTGTCAGTGATTAAGCAGGTAACCGATTCTTGAGTGGTATAACACAACTTTATGGAAGTAGTCTACCTAGCATCTGATGATGCAAAACTCTTCTATCGTAATTGGTTATCAGTGTGAAGAGTTTCCAATCCTGAGGTGGGCAGGAAAGTATTCATACTCTTAATAAATATTTTTTGACTGAGTTTTGCGGGGGGTATGCCCCATTCTGAAGAAGTTGATGATTTTACTGTCTCACTTATTTTTTCCTTCCAGAATGCGTTCTGGGTGGGTTTCCTGGATGGTGGTTCTGCAAGTGAGTGTAATCAGGCTGGATTCCTCCATGACTCAAGGCAGAGACTCTCCAGGTAAGAACAGAGCATTTTTTTTTTTTTCCAGGTGTGCATGCAAGAATTGGCATGGGGGAGGAATGCCTTTCCCTGTGGGTCCAGGCTGCAGACCAGACTAGAATTGGCTTCTGGCTTCAAAGTGTTCTTTCCTTTGGAAGAAAAATAAGGCTCTCTCTTTACCACATACAATGTGGGAAAAGGGACTTCCTGTACCAGAGCCGCAGATTCAAGGAGTAGGGTATAACAGGAAGAAGGGAAACATTTTGTCTTGCTTAGGGCCCTTATTGTGTCAATGTCTGTCTCAAGAACTGTATAAACTGGAGGCAGTCTGAAAATAGCTGCCAGTTGTTTAGACAGGAGTTTGCTCTGATGATTGTGACTGTTTTTATATTTATCCAATTGAGATACACGTGGATAAAAGAAATTGGAAACAAAGTTTCTTCTTTTGGCATTTGTTAACCCCAGTTTTGAGAAATAAGAGAAGTTGAATGCATTATCCTCAGACTGTCCCCAGGCTACTAAGTCCATGTATTTATTGCTGTTATTTTTCTAGCTGAGGAGATAGGCTATACAAACATGAGGCAATATTGCACCCTGAAGACATATTTATCAGCAGAAAACGGGATGTGATGTGCTAAAAACAGAACCTGTTTGAATGTCAGTTTCATGAACTACAAAAGAGGAACCAACCTGGGAGGGTGCGGTGGGTGGAAGATCTTTGTTCTTCAAGAATAGAAACCTCTCTGGGCTCATAATGTCCATTTAACAACACAGATGAAGAAAAAGTCAGTGCAGATCTTAAATCTGACACAAATCTGACTAAAAAATTATTTTCTTTTTCTGATTTAAACTGTAAGAAGGAAGAGCATTGGAGGTTAGAGCTGACCTTAGCTACTAAGAGATGAGTATGGCTGGCCCAGGAAGGATTCTGCCGTCCTTACGCTCCACTCAGTAGCTCGCAGAGGAGGAGCTGAGAAATGAGAGCAAATTTACAACTCGAGATCAGTAACTACTATCCTTCAAGCCTTAACTCATGCTGTTTCTTCAGGGAGGTCTTTTCTGGCCAACCCGCATTATTAACCCATTTGAATTTCCTTTTTTTTTTTATTGTTGTTCTCAAGTGCACAGAATTGCATTAATCTTACCCAAAGAGTTCACAGCACTTTGTTATCATTTGTCTGTGCAAGGACTCTCTTCTCTTCCCTTGTCTCCATTTTCACACCCTCTTTTCCTTAGAGAGCCATTCTAACATGTCTTTAACTATGGGGTGGCCTTTAAGAATATTTAGCATTGTTTTTCACATGTATTTAAAAATCTTAATAAATTCATTGTGCATTAAATCACATTCTGTTTCTTTTCTGTCTTAACACTATGCTTTTGAGCTCTCCTTCAGTGTCGTTATCAAAGGAAAGCAGGTCAGGGAGGGTAAGTGGTTCTATGTAAAACCATCGGATATAGAACTAGAACTCAAGTCAACTGGAACATAACCCAGGGCCATTTACCAATTTGTTGTTTAAAAATTTTCAAATATTCAAATCTATGAAGTGTCTTAATCCATTCTGGTGACTGCAACAAAATACCACAGCCTGGGTGACTTATAAACAACAGAAATTTATTTCTCAGAGTTCTGGAGTCTGGGGAGTCTAAGATCAGGTGTCAGTATGGCTGTGTACTTATTTATTTATTTATTTATTTATTTATTATTTATTTTTAATTTTTTGCTTACTTATTTTGAGAGAGAGAGAGAGAAAGGTGACCAGGAGAGGGGCAGAGAGAGAGGGAGACAGAATCCGAAACAGGCTCCAGGCTCTGAGCTGCCAGCACAGAGCCTGATGAGGGACTCGAACTCACAAACCATGAGATCATGACCTGAGCTGAAGTCAGACACTTCTTGACTGAGCCACCTAGATGCCCCAGTATGGCTGTGTTCTGATGAAGACTCTCTTCCTGGTTCATAGCTGGCACCTTATCCCTGTGTTCTCACGTGGTAGAAGGGGCTTGAGATCTCTCTGGAGCCTCCATTATAAGGGCTGATCCTATTCATGAGAGAGGGCTCCACCCTTATGACCCAAACACCTCCCAAAGGCACTTCCTACTGATAATATCACCTTTGGGGGTCAGGAAATCAACATAAGAATTTGGGGGCAGGGGCACAAACACTCAGACCATAGCACACTGTGTGTTCAACAAATAAGAATGATCCTTTTTCTTAGCTGTGAGGACAGATTACATAATTTTTGAATGTGAAATTACATTGAAGAATAGCAGAGTAGACAGTGTATGAAACAATATGTAGCTCAAGCTAATCACTATCGATATCAGTAAGGTGCTCTGAAAGTAGAAAATTGTAACGGACCATGGAATTAGATTTTTTATTCCACCTTTAATGGCAGTATTTCATGTAAAAATCCCCAAAGACGCTTAAGCTAATTGTATATTTTCTATCACCATGTTGTTGTAGCTACTGGTATGGTAGGTATAGTGCCAACGATACTGATAGCAATATTAATCTTCGAGCCATGGATTAGTATTATTTTACTTAACACCAACAAAGGTAATTAAATCATTACCTTATTAGAGCCAACAGAGGGGTGAAGTCTAAGTAAAAGTGCAAGGGGAAAGGTCCAAAAGGAAATTCTTGGAGAAAACCCATAGTGAGTGAAAAGTGGAAGGGGTTAACTTCACATCAAACGTGTACCGAGTCTGAATTTCTTTGCCCACCTCCATCACTCCTTCACTCTGCTCCAGAGGGAATGTATCGAATGAACCTGCCATGGGCAAGAGTGCTGTTGGATTACTCCACATGGGGATGGATCTTTTTGACTTGATAACAAAGGGAGTTAAAGTCTTGGGCTTCTGAAAGCTTGGCTTGGAGAAACCAAGCACAGTGTCAGCAAAACACAAATGGTCAATAAATGTTTGTGGAATGAATGTTTATGTCTCTTGGGACTCTCTTTTTGGCTTGCCTTTTTGGGATTACACATCTTCCGTTTGGCTGGCCCTGTAGGATGGGTCTCAGACTGCTTTCCACGATGGATGTCTCTTTGCTAAAAGGAACCAGATGTGGCCCAGGGGAGAAGAGGCCACTTTGACCTATTTACTGAGGTCAAAAGCCTCTTCTCAAATCCGTGTGTTCTGGCATAATTTACCACGTATGGGTTCCTAAAAGTGAGGGTTGGTTTGTTGTCTATTTTTTTTTTTTTTTTTTGGATTTCCAGAAGATTTTGTGATTCAGGCAAAGGCTGACTGTTACTTCACCAATGGGACAGAGAAGGTGCAGTTTGTGGTGAGATTCATTTTTAACTTGGAAGAGTATGCACGTTTCGACAGCGATGTGGGAATGTTTGTGGCATTGACAGAGCTGGGGAAGCCTGATGCTGAGCTGTGGAACAATCGGCCGGATATATTGGAGAGGAGTAAAGCTTCTGTGGATGCACTCTGCAGACATAACTACAAGCTGGGTGCACCCTTCACTGTGGGGAGAAAAGGTGAGGTGGAAGGTGAGGTCTTGTGAGGTTCAGGAATCTCCTACATGTGAACGTGACCATGGGCTTTACTTCCTCATGATGGGCAATTTCTTGCTTCAGGATAAACAGCTTGTAAGCAGGGGAGTCTGTATATGTTCTGTCCCTAGTTGTGATTCATTAATTATCCTCACAGGTCAGGTTACTGTGGTCTTGGTCCCAGACCCCCCAAATTCTCAAAGACTTTAAGGACTAGTGGGCTCTCAAATAAAGGGGGTAATTGTGGGAGTATCTGATAAGGCCTAACTCATCCTTGGGGCATTGACATACCCAGTTTCTGAATCTTGGGGGCAGAGATTTCCCCACATTTCCAGTTTCCACCTGGGTGATGTGAGAAGATTAGGGGAAGAGACTGTCTTTCAAGGAACCCTTGTCCTGGCTTAGTGGTTTTCCTTCACAATGTCTCATGTTTTTCTCTCTTCCCAGTGCAACCAGAGGTGGCGGTGTATCCAGAGAGGACCCCATCCCTGCAACACCACAATCTGCTGCTTTGCTCTGTGACAGGTTTCTATCCAGGGGACATCAAGATCACATGGTTCCGGAATGGGCAGCAGGAGAGAGTAGGGGTCATGTCCACTGGCCTTATCAGGAATGGAGACTGGACCTTTCAGACAATGGTGATGCTGGAAATGACTCCTGAACTTGGAGATGTCTACACCTGCCTTGTTAATCATCCCAGCCTGCTGAGCCCTATTTCTGTGGAGTGGAGTGAGAATCAGCTTCTTGTACTCTCTGGGCCTGACTCAGGTTGATGCTGACTCAGCACACGGCCTGCGTTATCTCTGCATTCATCTTGGTCCCGATAGTCATTCTTCTTTCCCCTGATCTGAGGGGTCATGGAATTCGGGTCCTTGGGTTAGGGTGGGAGAAGACACGACAGATATCTATCCTTGTATCTGCCAAGAAATAAGGAGGTCTAATCACCTCATCACTTATTTCCAACTTTGGGAACGAGTATACTCTGATAATTTGTCTTAGTATTTTAGGGGGCATACTTACGGGCTGCAAGATTCAGTAACAGAAACTCCATGGGTGCAAACCTTGGCTTCAAAGAACCATATCTAAATGTATTTCTTCTCTAGATAGCATTTGATCTGGTGTCCAGAATGGACTCTGAGATTTCAGGAAGGCACGCCAAACATTGGGAGCTTTTTACTAATTTTCAGACCTGTTTCCCATAGGAGTTCAGTCTGCATATTCTTGGAGAAAGATGCTAAGTGGAATTGCAGCCTTCCTGCTTGGGCTGATCTTCCTTCTGGTGGGGACTGTCATCTGCCTCAGGGCTCAGAAAGGTAATGAGCCTCTCAGGATTCCCCTGCCACCTGCCCCGTGGCTTCTCCCACTTCCCCTAACTTCAAAGATGTGAGGCAGGGAAAGCTGATTGTACTTCTCAGAGGTCACCATGATAGTCTCTTCTGAATCCAGAAACATTTCAGGGGGTCATCAGAGCTGGAGTATTGATATTTCAGTTCGTCCCTATCTGTCAGGATAATCACAACATTTGGTCCTAACTAGAGGCATTCTATTTCTTTCCTCTCATTCCAGGGTATGTGGAGACGCAGTTGTCTGGTGATGAGGTAATGTCTTCTTCCTTGTCTTTGGGTGGCCAATTGTTGTCCCTGTGCTTTGGCCAGAGGGAGAGGTCTTGGGGATAGGGTGTGAGGGTGGCTTTGGCTGGGTGGTGCTGGGTGCTGAGTCTCTGGAATGGGAGGGTGGAGTCCCTCCTGAAACTCTGATCACTATTCCTGCAGGTCTCAAGAGCAGTTCCCTCACCATAGCCACACTAAGGTCCCAATCAGAGCTTCTTGCCCTGGAGGCTGAAATAGTACCGAATGACTTGAGTCCAAATGACTAAGTAAAGGACTCTCATGAGGTCCATGTTCTGGAGCTACTTCCATGAGTCCTTGGAGGAGTCCTGACTTGATTCTAGAGTTCTGTTTTCTGAGATCATCTCTCATTCATCTGCCCTTCTTCCTCCTCCTTGCCTGTGCCATTAGTCCCCATTTCCAAGGATAGTGTGCAGAAATTCCCACCAAAGCTGACTCCCACCAGCCCCAACCTGCATACCTCCTATGGTCCAGCCCTAACCTTGTGAGTTATCCTCATGTCTTCCTGTTTCCAACTGCACTCTCCACTGTCTCCAGAAGACAAATGTCAGAGGCACTGTTTCCTTTTCACCGTTTTTTATGACCTTTTTTATTGTAAAATAAAACTGAGGAACAGATAACCATACAAAATGTAGAATTTAATGAATTATTTAAGGTCAAGAAATAGAACTTTACCAGTCAGGGCAGGAGTCTCCCTGTGCCATTGGCCAATCAATCCCCTCTCCCTCCTCTCAAAAGTAATTATATTCTGGGAGGCCTGGGTGGCTCAGTCAGTTAAGTGTCAGGCTCTTGATTTCGGCTTGGGTCATGATCTCACGGTTCATGAGATTGAGCCCTGCATTGGGCTCTGTGCTGACAGTGCAGAGCTTGCTTGGGATTCTCTCTCCCTCTCTGTGTTCCTCCCCTACTTGTGCTCTCTCTCTTTCTCTCTCAAAATAAATAAACTTTAGAAAAAAGTAATTGCATTCTGTTAATCACTTTTAAAATTTTTTTTAACGTTTATTTATTTTTGAGAGAGAGGGAGAAACAGAGTGTGAGCAGGGAAAGGGCAGAGAGGGAGGGAGACACAGAATCTGAAGCAGGCTTCAGGCTCTATGCTGTCAGCACAGAGCCTGATGCAGGGCTCAAACCCAGGAATCAGGAACCATGAGATCATGACCTGAGCTGAAGTCAGACACTTAACCGACTGAGCCACCTAAGGGCTCCTTAAATATTTTAAAAAAATGTTTATTTATTTTTGAGAGAGAGAGCACAAGCAGGGGAGGGGCAGAGAGAGAGAGAGAGAGAGAGAGAGAGAGAGCAAGATTGAGAGGTAGACACAGAATCTGAAGCAGGCTCCAGGCTCTGAGCTGTCAGTTCAGAGTCTGATACGGGGTTCGAACCCATGAACTGGGAGATCATGACCTGAGATGAAGTCAGACACTTAACTGACTGAGCCACCCAGGTGCCCCAGCTTAGTTGTCTTTTATGTCTCATACTTTACTATTTCTCCTCCATCCCCTTTGCCCCCCTTATGACTAATACGTTGAAAAGCCTGAGACATTTAACCTACAGAGTTTTCCATAGTTTGGATTTTACCAATTGCATGCATCTGGTGCAGTTTAGCATGTCCTTCTGTCCTCTGCATTTCTTGCAAGTTGGCAAATGGATGCAGAGGTTGGATAGACAGGTTTAATTTCTTTGATGAGTCTGTAGGTGGAGGTGTGTTTTTTACCATGAGGCCCAAACTGTCCAATTGTGTCTCTTTTTACGGTGCATTCACCTTTGGTGCTCATTGCCTAGGCCCTTGAATTCACTTGAATTCTACCAGTCCTTCTTTGTTTATATGCTTTATTGCTTCTGTAAAGAGACATTTCTCTTCATTTACTGGTGGGTTGCCCAGTGATACAGTGGAAAGAAAGGATCAGTGTTTTAGTTCTTTTACTTTTTTAATTTTCAAGTTACTGAATTTGTTTCCTACTATTACCCAAAGGTGGGCAATTAGGTTCTACTTTTTATTTTATTTCTCGTATCATTATAAACTCAAGGATTTAAATGTATTTGATGGATTTTAACTCCTGGTGGTTTTTAGCCACGAGTTCAATCATATCATCCTAGGTGCATGGAAACTTCTTCAAGTGGCTCCTGAGTCCTTTTGACACAAGTCTTTTGATCATTGCTTTGTTATCTGCATGCCAAAATGTTCCAGGTTTATTCTGTATGTTTCCCGCTCAGACCTGAAATCAGCCATTGTTTTAGAAAGCCCTGGATTATTTTAGTGGGAAATGTCACTAAGACCGTAAGTGGGAGTTAGGAGTTCATCACTATATCAGGTCTTTTTGGTGGAAGTACAAATGTTTATATGTAACGTTCATATTTATAGAAGCACAAAGTTTATGTATATACAAATAAAAAATTAATCTCTTCTATATTACAGTTGTGTCTCCTTTCTTCCACATCAAGAGTTCTGGTTTTCAAACACACAGGGAGACCTACAATTAGAATATCCACTTTTACTCATTTGCTTTTCCTGAATGAACACACACAGCAGTCTGAGGATGATGATACTTGTGCTACGAGCACCAAAATGATTACTGAAAACAGTTAATATTCCTTTTGCCTCTGTTCTCCTCATCATCCTTCCTTTTTATAGTTGTCCTATATCTATGTTATGGATCATATACCATTTCAGAAGATACTTGCTCCCTTTTTAGTCTTAGTGCTGTGAGTAATAACATGTTTAATGATGACTACTATTCCTTATGTCAGTGTCCTTTAAGTGCAGTGGTGCTCCAGTTGTGGTCTATGGACTCCTGGAGGTCCCTGAGACCCTTTTGGGAAGTCCGAAAGATCAAAACTATTTTTATAATAATAATAAGATCTTATTTACCATTTTCACTGTATTTGTACTGATAATGCAAAGTTTACAGTGGGTAACACGTTTGGTGCTTTAGTACAAATCAGGGCAGTGACACCAAATTCTATAAGCAGTCATGGCATTCTTGACTGCCATGCACTTGCAGTGAAAAACCCTCAAAAATGCCAGTTTCACTTAAAGATAGCCTTGATGAAACAATAATAATCATTAGTTTTTACTAACTCTTGAATCTCAAGTAGGCACCTTTTTAATATATAGTGTGACAAACTAGCATTTCTGCTGCGAAGTGATGGAAAGGCATTTATTTTGTGGAAAAGCGCTGTGTAATTGCTTGAGTTGTGGGTGAAACAAGCCACCTCTTCTTTTTCTAATGGACTGTCATTTTTCTTGAAAGAATGACTGACAGACACAGTATGGTTATTTGGCCCTGGATATTTGGTAGGCATTTTCTCAAAAATAAACAAAAGAAGAATGCCACTTCAAAGAAAATGATATTGACAATGAAAATTAGATTTTCCAGAGAAAATCAAAATTTTGGAAAACTTGTGTTTGCCACAGGTTCCCCATAACAAAGGTTTTTGGATGAGATTGATGGTGATATTACCAAATACGATTTTTTCATATTGTTTAGTGACCCGTGTCAACATTTTGGAGATCCGCATAATCCTGTGGACTCCCTTCCAAATGATCAATGCATGATACTGCAAAATTATCACGGATAGAAGGCCCACTCAAAGCACAAGGTAGACCAATGAATTTTAACATAACATAACATGAAAAGACCACTGATAAGATTTCAGATTCCACATTGTAACTAATTTGTAAAGATTTATCATTTGTTGATTGTAGTATCTTACCAAAGAAGAATATACACAATAGCTGAAAGGCTATTAAAATTCTTCCCCTCTTTCCTATTACATATCTGAGTGCAACCACATTTTCTTCATGCATTTTAACTAAAACAACATATTACAGGCTAAATGTAGAAGAATACATGACCAAGTGAATCAGTACTAAGTGAGATATTAAAAAGATTCTTTTAATGTAAAATAATTCATTTTCTCTCACTATATTTTTGTGCTAGAAGATATAGCTACTTTTCATAAATATGTTATTTATATTAATATATAATGGGTTTATCACTGTTCTTTATACAAATATTAAAAGTTTTTCAGTTTTAATTTCTAATGTGATGAATATTGCTTCACATAACCCATATAAACTAAAGCTCTTTGGAGTTCTTAATAATTCTTAAGAATGTAAAGGGGTCATGATACCAAAAGTTGTGAACTACTGATGTAATCATTGTGGTTGTTTGAAGCTCTTTCTTTAGTTACTTGCTAAGACGAGCTCAAGGAAGTCCTTATATTTAACAGACTTCCAGTCAGTTTTGCTGGATATAAAAAACCTTCGTTCCTATTTTCTGCTCTTGAATACCTTAATAATGTTACTGCATTTTCACGTAACATCGCTATCAAAAAGTCTGATAATAACCTAATTATCAAGTCAGTTATTGTTTTTGCTGAGATGCCTAAGTAGCATTTTCTTTTTCTTTAATGTCCAGAAATGTTATTAGAATATATCTTGGTTTTGGTCATCTTGGTGAGTTTCTCAAATAAGCCATATAGTCTTTCAATATATGGCTCAATCTTTTTTTTTTTTAATTTTAGGAATGTTTTATTGAGTTATATTTTTTAGTATTTTCTTTTGTTTCCTTTTTAAGGAACTCCTACCATTTATATATTAGATTTTTTTTTGCGTATCTTCAATATTTGTAATTTTCTTTTGAATTCTTTCTCATTCCTTTTTTTCTTTAAAAAATGTTCCTTTTTACCTTCTTTCTTTCTCTTGAGGCTTTCATCATTGTGTCTATTTTGTTCTTTTGTTCTTTCTAGTTTAACCTTCATTTCTGAAGTGGATTTTAATTTCATATTATCTCCTGAGTACTGTAACCATATTTCTAAAATTTTAAAAAATTATTTTCTTATTTGATAAATTTGACATTATATTTTGAAAATTTAAGGTATATGGTATATTATTTTGATACACTTATATGATACACTTATGATTGCCATTGAAGGAATATTTAGCACATCTTATAATAGTTTTTATATTGAGATTTTCTAAGTCTGATTTATGTTGTTGTTTCATATTTTTTTTAACACTTTCTTAATGACATTTAGCTTGTTTTGAAATAGAGTGCAGCTTAGAATTTTTGGTAGCATGACTTTTCTGGTGTGTTTTTACTGTCTGTAAGGATTTTATTCTCTTCATATTTATACTAACTTTGTAGAAGACACACCTTCTGTCCTCTTCTGTGGCTCTTTTTATATGGAATTAATCTCCTTGAGTTTTATTTTTATTTAGTTATTTATTTTTAATTTTTTTAACATTTATTTATTTTTGAGAGAGAGACAGAGTGTGAGCTGGGGAGCGGCAGAGAGAGAGAGAGAGAATCTGAAGCAAGCTCCAGGTTCTGAGCTGTCAGCACAGAGCCTGACGTGGGGCTCGAACCCACAAATTGCGAGATCATGACCTGAGCCAAAGTCGGACGCTTAACCAACTGAACCACCCAGGTGCCCCATCTCCTTGAGTTTTAGAAGGAGGCATACTTCAGAATGTTTATCCACTCCCCAGAGCTCTCTCTTCTGTTGTTTTTGCATAATGCTAAAAAATATGGCAGCTTGCTTGGGAGAGTTCCAGACTGTTTTCGTCCCTCACTTTGAGCTTCTTTTTCTTCATTTCCTTATTTCTGTCTGGCTCAATTTTGATT